CCCTCCTACAAACGAAGTGCTTCACAAAATGCTGCTTCTTAAAATCATCTGATTAGTAATTGCTGCAAGGCTGCAGTTACTGGATTTATAGCACAAACTTAACTAGTCAATGATGTAAATGTACGTGTTATCCAGCTACTGAGTAAAGCATTTCTAACATACTTTTGTTTTTGAAGAATTTTTAATTGTGCTTTGTCACAACCATTTTCTAATGTATGCCTTACAGTTTTTCAATTATTAGTGTATTCTTAAAAAGTAATTTGGTCTTCAGAAGTCAGGAATGTTGTATTTCTGTCAGTTTTAAATTGTCATATTACTTTTCATATTATGTTGTCGTGGTTTAGCCCCAGCCGGCAACTAAGCACCACGCAGCCGCTCGCTCACTCCCCCTCCCACAGTGGGACGGGGAAGAGAATTGGGAAAAAACTCGTGGGTTGAGATAAACACGGTTTAATAGGACAGAAAAAAAAGAAGGAAACAACAATGATAATACCAACAAAGGAATGTACAAGAACAAGTGATGCCCAATACAGCAATTGCTCACCACCCCGTGATCGACAGCCCGTCCCCGAGCAGCGATTTCCGCCCCCCGGCCAACTCCAGTTTATGTACTGGGCATGACGTCGTATGGTAGGGAATATCTCTTTGGCCAGTCTGGGTCAGCTGTCCCGGCTGTGTCCCCTCCCAGCTCCCCGTGCACCCCCAGCCTACTCGCTGGAAGGCCAGCACAAGAAGCTGGACTGTCCTTGGCTGCTCAGCAGCAACCCAAAACATCAGCACACTATCAACAGCTTCTCATCCCAAATCCAAAACACAGTCCCGCACCAGCCTCTGCGAAGAAAACCAGCTCCATCCTGGCTGAAACCAGGACATATGTATATTTGAAAGAAAAAGTATGATTGAGAGACTCAATAGACATCAGGTAACAACACATTGCCAACTTACAGATGAGTGTCCAGTTTCATATCCAGGACATAGTGAAGAAGGCTTCTAAACTATTAGTGTTCCAGATTTGGTCCTAGACTTATTGTCAAAAGTATAAAATTTAGCACAATTTCACCATTTATGTATTTCCCCAAAGAGAAACTGATATTTATGCTTAACATTTTAATAATTGTAGATCAAGTATCTGTTACTGGAAACATTTTACTAAGCTTTTTTGAACTTCAGAGATTAATAGCTTAAAATATCAAATAATTATGCACAAACAAGCCATCTAATGTGCCATTTAATACTCTATTTTCTTTTTTCTCCTGATTCCTAACAGGCTACATTATGTTCTATGAAGGACTGCATGAGAGCTCTTGTAGCCCAATTGAAGTCTGAAAGTGAAGACTTGCAGCAGGTACTTCCTCTTGAGATGAAATATTTCCTTGGCTTGCACATTTCCATCATCTTGCATCTCTTCAATTTCATTGAGTTGTATTAAAATATTGTATTTCTGCTGCCCTTTCTTTCCACTCATTTGGCCTCTCCATGAATTATTTTTATGCTTCAATTCGTATCTTCTTTCATGACACCGGCTGAATATGAGCCAGCAGTGTGCCCAGGTAGACAAGAAGGCCAATAGCATCCTGGCTTCTATCAGAAATAGTGTGTCCAGCAGGACGAGGGAAGCGATCATCCCAGTGAGGGAACTGGGATTGTTCAGTCTGGAGAAGAGGAGGCTGAGGGGAGACCTTATCGCTCTCTACAACTACCTGAAAGGAGGTTGTAGTGAGGTGGGTGTTGGTCTCTTCTGTCAAGTAACTTGTGACAGGATGAGAGGAAATGGCCTCAAGTTGCGCCAGGGGAGGTTTAGATTGGATATTAGGAAAAATGTCTTTACCGAAAGGGTTGTCAAGCATTGGAACAGGCCACCCAGGGAGGAGGTTGAGTCACCATCCCTGGAGGTATTTAAAAGATGTGGTACTTAGGGACATGGTTTAGTGATGGACTTAGCAGTGTTAGGTTAACGGTTGGACTCGATGACCTTAAGGGTCTTTTCCAACCTAAATGATTCTATTATGCTATGATTCTATGATTTCTAGTGCTCTGTTCATAGAGTGCTTTCTCTTTTTTTAATTAGGCTATCTCTTTGAAATGTTCTGTCCTTCCCAGTCTGATTCTCTATTTTTTGTACTCATTCTTATGTTGTCTTGTCAGCATTTTTGATGCAAAGTTTGTACCTATATTTGTTCTGTAAATTATGAAGTACAACTTTGTGGTTATAAAAATGCTTAACTCTGGGTCAAATTCTGTTTTCTCACCAAAGTATATATATAATCAGCTATAAAACTCACTTTTATGACCCTGATCTGTTAGTGGAAGTCCAGTTTTCAAGATAAATTTGAGCAATCTGATATTCACTGATTTAGTTTACTAGTGATAGTGCTAATGGACTAGGATTACCCTGAGGGTTAATGCAGTATTGTGGCATCTGAGGCTTCTCCTACACTAGCAGCAAATAAATAATAGACTAATAACAGCAGAGGAAGCTCTACTTCAAAGAAGAATCTCTATGATACTTGGTAAGGTTGTTCTCTTAGTACATATATACCCAGTTTTACACCAGCACCTCCTAGAGAAACTTTGTTCAAGTGTCGGCAAAGTGTTTGGTGTTAAACCAGCGTGTCTCTTCCAGTGTCTCATGTGAAACAAGGATCTAAAACAATTATA